CATATGATTAGAAAATATCAAATCTATTTTTGTGTATTTATTTCAATGATTGAGTTTTTTTCTAAATTTATTAAAATCAATGAGAAAAAATTTATAAAAAAATTATCCAAGAAGAACTTTGCCATCATATGAGTGACTAATACTATTTATTTTTCATTTCAGTGATGTGTTTTTCTAGTTCGGCAATCTTTAGAGATTCTTCTTCTCGGTAATTCAGCAAAATTTGTAGTGCAAAATCATATTGTTCCAAAGCAAATTTAATTTGTTTCTGTTTCTCATAAATATGACCAATATTTATATGACATTGAGCTAAATCCTTGTGATCGCTTGGTAAGCCTTTCTTACCAACTTCCAAGGCTCGTTTAAAATATTCAAGTGCATTCACATAATTGTCCATATTTTCATGCACACTACCTATGTCAGTCAATGTTGATGCTATTGAAGCATGAGTTGATGGTAGTCGTTTCTCTTTATCTTTTAAAACCACTTCAAAATTTTTTAGAGCACTTGTATGATCACCATATTCTGCTTGAATTTTTGCTTTGAGACCGTTTACTTGAGTTATGAGTAAAGGGTTATGTGATTGTGAGGAATTCAACAACTTGTTTTCGGCTTCTTCTTGTTGTTCTTCTGCTTCTCGGATATATCCTAATTCCAAACAAACTAAAGCAAGATTGTAATGAATAGCAATAACGTTGGCATCATCATGACAATTCAGAGAAGAATAAATAGTAAGAGCCTTTTCATAGTGCTCAAGAGATTCTTCTAGCTTATGAGTAGTTTTATAAATTAGACCAAGTAAATTGTACACATTTCCAAGTCCTTTATCATTTGATGGAAGTTGTTTAAGCATATAATGTAAATAACGTTCAGCTTCATCAAATTTATTCATTCGAAAAAGAAACCAACCAAATAAGGATGGGTCTGGTTCGGATCCAATTTGATGCATCATGTCCCTCGAAAGCGCTTGACTAGCTTCATTTTGTTCTTTACTTAGTTCTAAGTGAACATGCCAGACATTGCCTTGTTGTTCAACTGATTTTATATAAAAAATAGCACCTATCGAGAAAAGCACTTCGTCTTCTGCATTATTTTGACAACATGGAGAGTATTTTAGAATTGCAAATGGTGTCATTTCTTTGCTCATATTACAAATATCAATTCTAAAAAGAACAGGCTGTAATTGTGATGTTTCCCCTGGTTGGTCAACTGCACCAGCAAAAACTTTGGCCAAGTCTTCATTTGATGTAGTACTTAAGAAACTATTCATTGAAATAAGTTGATTTATATTACGCTTAAGCACATCAATTTCTGTCATATTCAAATGTTGACCACGATAAACTCTGAAATTGTGATTCATACTAGAAGACTGGTTATTCAAATGTTGGTAATAAAGTTGTTCTATTTGATTGTGAAGATCATGGATGAAAAATCGAAATTTAAATATAACTTCAGTATTTTGTGTTCTTAAAGCTTTGTTCAATAATCTAAATGCAAAACTATCTTTTGAATACCATGAAAGAGCTTCCGTTTTATTATAATTTTTTTCAAAATCATCTATTTTCATTTTTATAGATTCGTTATCATGATACGCTGCTCGACATTCAGCAATCATCTCACATTTTGAATTACCATATTTGGCAATTAATCGAAGAACTATCAATATTAAGCGATACCACATAAATGCTGCACTTTCGTTAGTTAATTTTTGTAGTGAATGTTCTCGTTCCGTAAGATGAAATATACTCATTGGTGAATCTTCACCTTTGTCACGCAGACCAACATCATGGCTAATTTTATTTAATAGTGCTGATTTTTTTGTGAATATACCAGAAACTTTTGAATATGGTTTAGCCCATTCTTCAGCTGTTTTTTGGTTACCACAATATATATATATTGACTGTATCCATGGAAAATCATGTACAACAGGTATAACATTTGCACCGAACGTATTAGAAATAATAAGAAATATTCGTTTTGTTATCAGTTCATCTGTGATATCATCAATACATTTATCCGCATCAACAAAAGTGTGTAAACGTCCTCTAACTAATTGCCCTATCGATGCTTTTGTATTTTGATTACCTATATTCTCTTCAAGGGTTTTATCCAACCAGATGAAAAAGTAATCATTGGTTGAATTGTTCGTGCTTGTGCTACTCATTATTTTGCATTAATGTCACTACAAAAATATGCTTATTTCAATTGCTTTACCTTTTCTTCTTTATGCTTTTGCTTTTTTTCTCTTGCTCTTCTATGTGTTCGTTTATTTTCTTCTAAAAGAGACGACAACGTTAGATTGCATATTTATATACCTGATGCACGTGAGTTTGTGCGTTTTTTCTCTTCCTATCATAGAAATTCTTCTCATGGTTTATTCCTCCTTTTTATGAGTCTTATCCAATCTTTTTCTTCTGTTTCGTTTTTTCCAACTTTACTCATTTTGGTTTTTTGACCATCAATAGATTCTTTTTTGTATTTTTCTTGGAAATTTCCAACTTTAGATATGCTTGTTCGTTAATATGCATCTGTTGCTAGTGCGATGCATAGGATGATAAGCAAGTTTAGTTTGAAAAACAGAAACTTTATTTATATTTGAAATTGACATATAATACACAAAATGGTTTAGAATGATTTTAAATGCGATACTCTTCAAGAATTTGACTTATAAGATTTCTAATCGCATATTCGATAAATTAAAGTTTTCGTTTTTGCCAAGGCTTTTTCTTACAATCAATATGTGCAAAACTTTTATTAAAAAAACTTTTGAATTGTTACCACTATTTGTAGGTATAAATGTTGTCTTTTCTTCCAACACGTCGACATGCTCTACCAAATGGAAAAAAAACAAAAACTATTAGATTAGGCTTGTTTGGCCATTGCATTATACACAACTCTTAAATGATTATGACTTTTGAGACAAACTATAAATTCAGATTTATACTAATTTAACCTGTTCTCATGAACAATAGAATTATAATTTCATTAAAGAACATGCAAGTGATGAACTCATTTATCGTAATGGTAGATTCTTTTTACACTTGCCAAATATGTTGTTATGCTCGGTTGTGGACGTAGATGTGAGAGACGAGGGTGGATGTGGGTGTGGGTGAAGGTGTCTGTGTATTTCATCTGATTATCGACACCCTATTCAGTTGTACCACGAATATCGTTCAGACCTTCATCAACTAAAACGTTTTCTGTTGATTTTGAATAATAAATTCAGGCATTAATAGAATCCTTTTTTTCTGCGTATACATCTCTCAAATATTTATTAAACTTTATGGTAAACTTTAAACCGTTGTTACAGTGGACACATCATTTTAGACTTCATTACATGATAGTCATTTCATTACACTATTTTCACTATAAAAGAAGTTATTTTTTGCATTGTTTTAGACCTTGTCTTTCACATCAAACATTTTTTGTGGAATTTTACAGGCTTAAGGTAAAAACAGATTATGCTTCAATAAATGATAGTCATGTTAATTGGAAGAAATTTTGGAAAAATGTAGTATTATTTGTAAATCATATTTTTTCTGTCTATTGTATTTCGCTAAAAACATGAGTTAATTAAAAAAATTTTCAAGAAAATGATTGGTATCTATTGATTAATATTATTTAAAATCATAGAATATTTATATCATATGGAAAAAGAAAGATTTTTGTACTTCTATTAGTATGTATTTTAATGCTATAAAAATAAAAAGCATTTATCATAATAAATAATTATTGTTTAACAATTTATTCTAAATTTATTTGTTTATTATTGATTCATTCATTCTTACGTAGAAATAAAAAAAAACAAATTGCATGTCAGAGATAAATGTAGAATTTAATTTCAAAAACATGAAGAAATAAATCAAATTATTATTTTTTTTGAAATAATAAGAACTATTTGTTTTATAAAAGAAAAAGCAAAGAGAATTGATTTTATTTTTTTCATAATAATTAGTATTATATATTTTTCGACTTTGTCAAATATATATTCGTTTTATTTATCGTATAAACTATCGCTCTATTACAAATTATTGTTTTCATATTTTGTTTTTGATATTATTATTCAATTGAGCGTTTATTATTTTTTAACGTTAGATTAGTTTTAATACTGATATTTATTTTTTTGATAATTATATTCGTTGATATCTATTATAGAGACATAATGAGTGTTAATATAAGAACGTGAGAATTTAGTGGAAGAATGCAAGATAAACGAATACGTGCATAGGTGCTAACAGATTGAAGATTAACTAATAAACATTATTCTAAAATATTAACTTAGAGAACACATTCGAATAAGAAGAGGCTATAGTGAAACTATTGAGATTCTTTATTGACAAAAAATTTTCATGAATCTTTTTTTAATTTTAGACTTTCTGTCTAAAACAGAAAATAATTGATAAGATGATTCAGCAATACGAAAACTTGAAAGATTTAGCAGGACGTGTTTTCTTTCTAGACCATACCACTTTTGATTCATTTTAATGGCAAGCAATAATCAAAATAATGATAGTATAAATGCATCGATAAGTGTGTTCATTTTTTATGGTTTATTCATAAAAATGTAGAGTAATTTGATTCTTTTTGGCTGACTGATTCACAAAGAGAAAAAGAAATCTTAGAAAAACAATTAGCCGAAGAGTAAAGTGCACTTGAAGCAGCTATGGCAGTAAAAGAAAGATGAGAAAAAGCATTTGAACAAACAAAGATCGACTTATTAGCTTTAGAAAAAGAAATGAGAGACAAACGAGAATCGGAAGGACAATAAAAGTGTAAAGATCTGATATATTTCTACAGTTAATCATTTTTATTATAAATATATTCTATAAAATGTTTTTTATTTTGAAAAATTTTTATTTGAACTATTAGGTAAAGAGAGATTTTTCTTATAACAATCAGATCTTTTAAATTATGATTATACGTCATTAATTATTAAAATTCATGTCTTTTTATTACAATAACCAGCAAACAAGAGCAAATAATATTCGAATTTCCACTATAAAATAAACTATTTTACAAAATTGACCGAAAAAAATTGTACCAGGGCTGAAATATATTTTCCAACGAAAAATATCTTTGGTAGAAAATTTCGGAAGTTTTCAAAAACGCAGAAAAACTTTTAAAAAATCATCTTTTTTCCTTGTATTATTATTCATTACAATTATATAATCAGCGTTCGAATAGAGTAAGACAAAAGAGAGAGACAAAGAAAAAAAATATGCAATGGTATCGTTTGGTAGAGGAAGCAATATCTGAAGAGAATGTAAAAGCTCTGATATTCTCTTTATTTTGCATCATTGCAACCATTTGATCAAGCATCCAACTCATCGTAATGTTATCTGCGCTAAAAATAAATGAAAAAGAAAAAATAGTTTCTAAATAAATATTTTGTTCATTTAAGTATTTCGTTACCGTTCTTAGTATTTCTGTATTTATCTAGTTCAAATTCAGTTAATATCCAAAGATTGTTCGAATTAGTTGATCTTTCTGTTTAACAATTAAATCGTATGTAAGCCCTTTAAATCATTTTGATATTGAAATTTAATTAATATTCACTTATAGATTAGGTATTTTATTTAAACTGTTTAACATTTACATTGAAAATTCGAATATTAAACTGGAAACCTCCATTTTTTACACTAATTATTCTATGAAAACTACGACTTATTCATTGTTTCGGAATGATAAGTTGAACTGTTTAAAAATATTACTTAGATATAGACGATTCGAAGCATTATATTTATATGCTAAATTTCATAATGAAGTAGGGTGTGGGCGTGTGTGTTCTACTTCTTTAACCAACACCCACCCACACCCACATCTGCACCCTAAAATATATTATCTTGCGCAGAATATCAAGCGCTATCCTTTGATAAAATCTCGGATTTAAATCCGAGTGTTATGTGTACTTCAAAAAGTAAAAACATGGAAGCAATTTCCGTTTAAGTATCTTTGCAATAGGCAAGCTCCGCGTGAGCGTGGGTGTAGAGGGATGTCCCCCCCACAATAATCGAAAATTTTCAATTTTTTCCAGCGAAAGATGCGGATTTTTTCCTACATTTCACATTATCTCTACGGAATTTTTCCGAACATACTCTCTTACATCCCTCTACTTTTTGATCCTTCGTGCGGGGCCTGGCAATAGGTGACTTAGCTTTCTTGTTTCTTAATGTTTTATACGTCATTTTGTAGCCCGTAAAATTCTCTATCGAATGATATATAACAGCTTAGGTTTTGTTTGATTATGAGAGAAAAAGCTTTTTTACGAAAACTGGGATAGGTCAATGTTCGCATAGAAAAACATAGGAAATAATGATATTTTTGCGATAACTCAGCAATTTTTTGACAAATCCTTCTCATCTTCGGATTCGACAGAGATATTGATGAGATGATTCTGAGTACAAAATTTCATCACAATCTGACTAGCCTTTGAAGATTTGTCGTCTAAACGACCGGCCTGACACACTGATCGATTCTATAGTGTACTCCATTTTCGAGTACAAAAAAAGTACTTTAATCAAAGGGATAATAGAAAAACAAAATCAAAAATACAAGCTGTCTAATTTATTCTGGAACATCCTTTTATTTGATTTGATTAGATATTTAAAATAGAAGTGTAAATTCGAATTGGTCAATAACAAATCCTTCTCGATAGTAGAATTTATGAGCTCGCGATCGATCGCATCCACTGTCGAGGGTCACACGATGAGCACCCACGCGATGAGCTGCATCTTTCATTGCGTTTACCAAACATCGACCAACACCTAGACTTCGTTTTGTTTCATCAGTGATCAAATCATCGCAGTTGTAACGTTTAATGTACTGGATACTAAGGAAAGCACGACAGACTGCCAGGCCGAGTACATTCCTCTCATTGTCATTGCTGATTGCTAGCAATATTCGAGTCGAATTAGTTCGACAAATGTTGCGCATTTGATCAATGTACTTTTGCGGATCAGTTGGTAGACGAGGTTGAAATTGTCGATGAACAACTTGAGCTCGTCTCAACCAATCTTCATTCTCTTCCTTGGGTAGGTCTGTTATGTCAATAATTTGAATGTCTGGCGAGCTTGGCAGCGGTTTTAGATGATCGACACTAAATCCAAATGATGTAATTATCATACCTTGTCGAAAGAAGAATCGCTGTGCAGCTGTATTTGTCAG